GATGCCCCATTAAACTTTAATTTCAGATAAACAAGACAAATAACTTTTTAAAATAGGTATGAATGGGCCATAGTTATACTAAAAAATATTGTTTATCTAAATTAAATTTACTGGGGATCATGTATTTTATCTGGCATTGCTATGAAATCTAAAAACGATTTGAAGCTTTATCAGCAGGACACTTTGGTTCCAGTGTGGAACATGGATTTGAGAAAGGGTGGAAAAGTGAGAAGACATAGCCACTGCCCAGAGATGAGGCCTGGATCTGGGGCTTTCAGGGAGATGGGAGAAGTAGATGAAAGGCATAAGGGAAAGTTATCTGCACTTAAACTAGCTGCCAGGGCAAAAGAACTATCTTACTAGATAGGATGGGAAAAGACTACCAAAAATGAGTGTGAAGTTCTGAAAATGCCCCCAGAATGTTTAGAAAAAGACATCAAACTAGGAATGCAGGGCCTCTTTTCCTTGCCTCCTTAATGGGCTCATGCCCATGGAGCAGAACACCTTTTTTCAGGCCCAAACACCTTGCCCCCTGGATCAAACTGCAGTAGTAGCTTTAGGCCTGAGCACTACTCCTTCTGAATTTCTCTAATGACCTAAGTTAGAATGGGCTCAGCTCAACCTGTTGCCAGATGAGCCCTTGACCAGAGCCTCTGGAAATTACCAGCTATACATAGCAAGGGGCACTAAGGAAAAGCAAATTCTCTTTACATTATTTTCTCTTTGTTGTTGTTGTTGTTGTTGTTCCCTGAGATAGAACTTGCCCTATTCGATAACCCCAGCCATGGTGCACACATTCCTCAGAATGATATCACAGAAAATCTATTCTCAACATGGAAAGGGATAGGAACCACATCTGGAATCACACGGTGTTCTTTGTGTGAAGAGCTCTTCAGTTTCACTTCAACTTTTATGAAGGAAATTCTATTCCTGTGGGAAACCATTTCAAAAACAATATATTGAAAAAGAAAGAAGAAAAATGAACTCCATTATACCAATGGTACATTCATTTTTCTGTTTTGCTCTGTTTCTTCAATTTGTAAAATGCACACCAAAGACTATTAGAGAATATAATTTGAATTGCTTCATTTTAAAGTGTTGAGAATTTAAATAAAAAAAAACTGCAGCGAAATGAAGACAAGTCTCCCTTTATTTTTTAACACCTGAATTTGATTATAACTTTCAGTTCTGAAATTTGAAATTGTACAGGGCTATTACCTCAAAGTAAATTATACATACTCTTATCACACACTAAAAAGCATGAGTAATTATCTGGCAGTCATGTGTTTTCTACCCACATTCACATACACACACAGACACTGTAGTATGAGCAATTTGTGCAAGCCGAGCTATTGATCACACATTCATCTAGCCCATAGTAGTTAAGTTGACATCCCAGGGTCTCTGGGGGTACTCTGAACCAAGGATCATTTTGATTATTTACATATAGTATATATTTAATTCTCATAAGAACCCTGTAGGGTGAATATTCCTCTCCCCACTTTACAATGCAGAAATTGAGGCTCAGAAGGGTTAAATAACTTTCCAAAGGACACAGAGACTATAAGTGACAGGTATGGGCTGAATTGTATCCCTTACAAAATTCATATGTTGAAGTCCTAACCTTCAGTACCTGAGAATGTAATTATATTTGGAGATAAGATCTTTAAGTAATTAAGTTAAAATGAAGTCATTAGTATGGACTCTAATTCAATATGGTTGGTGTCCTTATAAGAAGAAAGAGACATTAGGGATGTGCATCTACAGTGGAAATACCATGTGAAGACACTGTGAGAAAGCCTTGATGGATAGACACCAAGGAGAGAGGCCTCAGAAGAAACTGACCTAGCCAACTCCTCAATCTTGGACTTCTAGCCTCCAGATTTGTGAGAAAATTAATTTCTGTTGTTTAAGCCACCCAGTGTACGTTGCCTTGTTATGACAGTCCTAGCAAACTAATTACAGCAACCAACCGAGAATTTTCATCTTATCTGCAACTATCCTGAAATCATTTTTCACTAGGGAATCGGTCTGGGAGAAAATGGGGTTAATGGAGAATTACTTTTACTTAATATGTAATATGCCAAGGCAAACTAGGGTTTAGCTAAAGGTAACCAAGTTATCCAAGATGGCCCAATGTGGGGGTTGTGGTGGTAATGTGGTGATGTTGGAGGAACATGTGGATGTTCCTAGGGAGGAAGAGCATAGCAGCAGAAGGTTCTAGGCAGTAATAACTCAAACCCAGAAGAGCTAGCAGTAGTATTTTTCCTTCTGGTAATTAGCTTATTAAATCAGACCCAGACCATGACCAGAGTGTTAGATGCAGGATCCAGTCCCCCTCATGTAACCCAGAACAGGGAATTGGAAAAAGTGTACTGAGGGGCCCCAAAGCACCCCCTCTCCCACCAATTTTCCACATATTGCCCTGGAGTCTTGATGACTAAAGAATTGGGCCCCTCTTCTGGTCCAACACAGATCGCTGGGGTGGGGGGGGCAGAGCAGAAACCAGGCCAATGCCTGGTGACCCAGACAAGCTCCCCAGGATGTGGAAAGGGGCCAATTCTCCTCCCCACAATGAATTTTTCCTTCTCAGAATTTGATATACCACCCAAAGTAGAGAAAGGGAACACAATTATCTATGGAATCCAGTTTGCTTAGATGTCACTTTAAATGAATAGGAGCCAGCTTCAAATAAAACAACTACTCCCTCTTTCTGGTTTTCCAGGGCAGAATCTGTGATTTTCTCTATCTGCTCTTCCCCACCCTCCTACCACTATCATGGATGAGGTTCCATCTTTTGGCCTTGATGGATACCCAGTTCAGCTCATAAATCCCTCTCTTATAATTCTCATGTTTTTCTATCAGTTAACAAACTTCCAAAAAAATATTCTCAAGTCTTTGTAATTTGATATTTATGATATGCAAGCTGCCCAAAACCCAGAGATTGGGCAAGAGCCCTTTCTTCCCAGACTTAAGGGCTGTACTAGGCTATATAGTTCCCTAGGGAACTGGAGTACTGAACAGAAAATTGAGGCAGAAACAGTATTGGCTTTCATCAATCTCTTAGGACAGGTACTTATCAGCATAGAACTCCTGAGTTTTTAATACACAAACCCCCAAGGCTTGCTAAATACTGAACCTAAAACTGTACTCCACTCCACCTCCCACTGTTCCCCCACTGGCAAAATGAAAGCTCTAATGTTCCTGTTTGGTTCTGCTATGGTTAGAGTCAGCCAGAATGGAACTCTGCAGATCCATCAGTGATGGCCTCCATATCTCAGCAGAGTGGGCCTGGGGTGAGTAAGACTTGCTTTGGTTAACACAGTCACTGGGAATCCTCTTATTGCCTAAAGAGTCTAACCCTGTAGTGGGAGACTCTCTAGAAATGACTCCAAAGTAGTGAGATATTGAAACTACTCTCTCAAAGCTTCTGGGGGGTCTGAGATGGACAGTAAACAGTGTAATATCCATGACCCTGATGTCATAGTGGAAACTGACCAGACTAGCCTTCTCTTATAATTATTATAGAGTGATATTATAAATGTAGAATAAATTCTATTAATACATGTACTTCCCTTCACCCACAATACATTCTTTAGGGGTGGGGTCTTCAGGTGGGTAGCTACCTTGGTCTATTGGTCACCTTGTAGGTATGTATGGATATTTTTTTCCCAGGAAACTGCCTGGGTTTTCATCATATATCAAACTGTATTGTTGGAATTGAGTAAGATCCAGAGTCTCTGTCCAGAGTCTCAACTTTCAAGTGTGGAGAACAGAGCAATGGCATGGACCTCTACAATGGGAGCAACACCATCCAGCCATGGAAGCCTGGCTTCTGTTTTCTGTAGGGAAGTGCTCCTTTCTATGATTGTTTCACTTAGGATTACTGCTCTTCACACTCTTACACTCTTTACTCTCTTAGATATATGCAAATTAGGCTGATCTAATATATAAAAATGCTAGAAAGCTGAGGTTGCCCTCACCAACAGCAGACAGCCTTGGTGGGCTAGTGTTGGTAAATTTCTGTGGTTAGAACTGGCACCTATATTATCACTCAGAGAATCTTATATTCTACATACTTGATATTATTTTGCTTAACTACTTCTCTATATTTCAGATGCTGATGGTCTCTGTCCCCTCATAAGATGTCCTACAGAACTAGTAAATCCATGAATATTAGAGTTATAATAAACAGTCACATGTCATCTGAGCCAAAGCCCCACATGATGAGGAAAATTCTACTGCCATGTAGCAATCATCACTTCAATACTTACAGTGTTGGGAAGTTCACTGCTTTGTGAAGAGCCTATTCCATTATTACATAGGCTCTCCACAAAGATGTTACTGCTTCTTTTTTTTTCCCCCTTCAAACTGTGCTAAAATCTGGATGTTAATCCAGGCTCTCCTATTAGCTCCATCACCCTAGACAGAATCCAATACATGAGGCTGCTGGTGAGCTCTTGACCAAAGCCGGTGGTTCTCAAAGTGTGCCTCTCACTAATCTCCCTCCCTCCCTGTACTCCAACAAAGCAGTCCTACTTCCTCTGTTCTTCATGGTGAGATCCTGGGTGAGATTTCATTTTCAGATTGAGCTCTTGTGCTTCACACAAATGGTCCTCTACCTGCTCCCATAAAGCAGACAGAGAAAAGCTTCCAGGCTCATACAATCTGTGAACACAAACAATATGTACCAGGAAAACTTCACATGGCAAGTTTAACATGACCCATGAAGTAATTCTCTTGAAGTAATACACATCACTGAAAGCAAGGGGAAAAGAACAAAAGCATAATCTTCTTTATAGTTTGTTCTTTGTCCGGTAACTTTACATGTATAATGAACCTTATAAATCTGGATGAGGGTAAAGGGAATAAAGGAAGCTAGCCAATTGTCATCCCAAACAAAAACAGGAAAGTTGTAGATGATGTCTTTACTCTCATTTACCATTTGGTGTATAAAAGAGAAAGTTACCTCATGTTAAGAGGGAGGAAGAGTAACCAGGTTGTACCACTAATCTGGACCATGGATGCCTCTCTTTGGGGCTCTCCTTCCTAAGATGTTGTTTTGTTCAGATCTTTGAAGTAATTGAAGAAACAAGTCTTCATCTTTCAGGGCTTAAAAATTAGTGCAGATAAACAAAAAAATTATTACTTCATCTTTTCCTGAGCAATGAAGAAACTTTACTTAAAAACTTGACTAGTGTCTAACTCTTGGCATTTTGAACCTTTTATTCACTGCTATATAATCCTGTTAGGTTAGTGTCCTTGTAAAAAAGATACCAGAGCTTTCACTCTCTCCCCTGTGAAGGCACAGCGAGAAGAGGGCTGTCTGTAAGCCAGGAAGAAAGTCATTACTAGAAACTAAACCTTGCCAGACACTGGTGTTGGACTTTCCAGCTTCCAGAACTTTAAGAAAATAATTTTCTGTTATTTAAGCCAGGTAGTCTGTTGTAGCCTGAGAAGACTAAAACAAAAGAGTAAAACCTATGCCTCAGTTTTCCAGGGAAAACATAAAAATAACACTGATTTCTATGTGTATATCATTAGACAATCTACAAAGTTTGTCACATCCATTATTTTTAAAGTTTCTAACTGCAGACCTAAATGTACATTAAAATATGCATTTTACAAAAGGGAAAACAGGATAGAAGAAGGAAGGTGATTCATGCAGTATCACATGGAAGGGAGGGGGTCAAAATCAGAACTACTACCCAGACCATTGTTCTCTGCACAACACTAACCTGCTCTATAACCATCAATCTTCACACCATTATGTCATCTGCAAATCTGATAAGAAGGTTTCAATGTCTTCACACAAACATCAATAAAAGTATTTAATGGGGAGTTGTTACTTATACTTTCTAACCTGAAGATGACAAATGGGTCTCATCTTGTAAGCCAATTGATTTTTTTGGCAGTGGCTGCCAATCCTGGGTATTGACAAGGACTGTAAGGTCATGTTACCAAAGGAAATCTAGATTGACTATCAACATTGGTCATAGGCACAGGAAGTGGAGTGTGCAGCATGTAAACCTGGAATTACACATACTACTCCAACCCCCAAGACAAAATGGAGTCCTCATGGATGAACAAAAATGCTTTCCAGCATGAAGAACAAAATTATATAAACAAGGTTGTCCAAGGATCTTTTTCTTAGAATTATTTTTTGAATTACTTCTCCCTGATTGTTTCTCCCTGAATTCTCATTCTTTGTCAGTATAGAAAGTTGGTCCCTCAAAATTAAATTCCAAAATAAATTCCTCACATGAAATTTTATATAGGAGATAACTAGTGTCTAAGAGACAAGTTTTTCAAGATTTTATAATAAACACAGAAGCAGATTTCATGAAGGATTGAGAAGGAAAAAATTGGTTCTCAAGAACATTCATAGCAACTATTTCATGGTTGGTAGAACAATTGGATATATAATCAGCGAGTAAACAACTTTGATTATAGTGGATTATACCAAGAGACATAATAATATGGCTGTAATTATATATCAGCAGTTGTGCCTCAAATTCTTCTTTTAGAAAATAGCTACTATAAGCTTTACAGAAATAGATTCAAGATAATAAGAAACATAAGTATCACGGTAAAAGCCCTTTGAGGCTAAAAAAGTGGTATCTTACCCCTCCCCATTCCTCCAGTCTTAAAGATACTCAAAAATAAATCCTTACTGTACAGGACAATAAACTACAAAGCATGTCCGGCTAATTTTTCCCCTAATTATTCAGTCCTGTAAGCTAGATGCATGCTTTAAAAACAGATACATGCTTAAAATTATTTAAGAAGTAAAATGGTTCAAATAAGACTAATTTATAAATACTTAATAACAGAAGCAATTTCATATAACTACTTTTCTTACCAAAGCTTATAAAATGTCACTTTCATTTACCAAAATTGATAAAAGCTGTTTTTATTATTATGGAAACTAGAGATATGTAAATAAGATTATTTTAGTAAAAGATTAGAACAGGCTTTAATTCTCTCTTATTGATTTTTAAGAATAAGTTCTGATTCTTGAAGATAAAGCTTTTTACATTAATTTTGAAAAGTAATATTCCTAAAGGTTTCATTGCAGCTTTCCTCCACTTGGGTTCTATGAGCTAGATGTTCTCTATTCCTAGTATTTATGTTCCTGAGAAAAGCTCTCTGGTAACATAGATATGACGTCAAACTTCTGATATATTTGTAAAATAAAAGTAAATTATAAAATTGGTACACAGAAAAATTGAGAAAGTATGAAGCTCTAGCAGAAACACTTAAATTTCATGTAAAAACTAAGGGCAATCTAAACCCACTTAGTGACAGGTTTGATTTCAATAAAATAAGACACTCTATTCTTATTTCACAAAGAACTTATTTTCAAATTTATCATCAACTACTCAAATATTCTTTCTTTGAAAATAGGACTCAAATGAGATAAAATTAACCTGAGTTCTAGAAATACACAAAGGTCTCAGTTATATTTTCTTAAAGTCATAGAATTGGATACTTAAAAAACGCTACTAGATTTGTATCAGAAGTAGTTAACTTTTTGATTCAAGTTATTGGACAGAAAGTAATAAAAATATCTTAACTTTATTAAGTGTGTTAGTGCTCCCAACACGCACATGCTTCTGTTCCACTTGTCATCGGTGCCCCCTTCCTGTGTGGTCTGGGAGAGACTAACTGACCTCTACTTGATGAAAGCTCTGAGCTTTCCTCAAATTTCCCAAAAGTACAAGATGAGAGAACAGAGAATATTCCATATTCTTAAGGTCATTTTGGCCTCCAGGCTCCTTCTGCTCAATTCAAATGTTAACTGAGATGCAATATATCCCCCTTCATTGAGTTCCACAAAAAACTCTACTCTTACAAAGCTTGTGAAAGTGTATAGAATTTCTGAAGATTTTGGGGGGGTGATGGGAGACTTGGAAGGGGTTTATATTGCAGGACACAGGTAATCTCAGATGAACATATTCATCTCTATTCTTTTCCTATGGTTCAGTTTCTTCATTACTGGGAATGTACACCTGTCCATCTCCCCATACTTTTGGGTGATTATAGTGTCCCTGCCTCCCTCCCTACTTGCCCCTAGTCTTAGGAGCAAACTCCTCTTTTTGTCTAGAGCCACAAATTCTCCAACAAAATGCTCATTAAGATACCATCTGTGCCTGAATATAAAAGATCCAAGAATGCATCTTCCAAAAGAGAAGATCCCTTTTAAAAAGTATCTCATCAACTTAAATATATATATATACATTATATATATGTAGATATATATATGTAGATAAATGATTGATACAGGAGAAATAGTCAAATGTCTTCTTATAATATTGAGTTTATCAACTGAATCACACAATCATATTTTTAAAAACATGATATAGAACTTATATTGCTATATAAAATACTAGGTTTTTATCCTCATTCTCACAGTTCATGAAAATTCTTCACAATTGACATGAGTGTTTTTGCCATCAATAGAGCCTTTGTTAAGTCATCTAACACAGTTCTTCCAAACACATCAAGTTCGTTTCTTTCTAACTAGTTGGAAGTACAGCATGTTTAATCTTGCCAGACTGCTTATACTGAAATTTTATCCCAAGTCATAAGAATCAACTTGTTATTTATGTTCTCCATAACGTAACCATTTAATTTATTGCCTTTTAAAGTGACATTTAAACCTTATTTACAATGACATTCAACACTTACAATTCAGAGGTCACCCTAGAGAATAATGATTAGAGCTGGGTTAAATTTCTCTGCCTTTTTTTTTATAATCAAGTCTTTCAGGTGACCTTTATAAACAACTGAAATTAACATTGATTGAAGCTGTTTCAGACAGATATTCCCCAAATAGTTCTATGTCTTCCAATTATTAAAAGAATGACATATGAGACTTAAATTTAAGGTTGCTCTCTTTTTTGGAAGGATAATTTTGAGGGGGGAAAAACTGTAAACTCTCACCTTATAATCTAGTATATAGGCAATTATTCCTTAACGTCCTCCCTAGGACAGACTGTGGGACCAATTGTTAAAATTTTCCTTTTTACGCATACACTAATTATATCATTTAATCTTTGTAACAGGGCAAATATTAATCTTATGTATCAGATGAAGAAACTGAAGTTCAAAGAAACATAATGACTTGCCTAGTATCAGATCATTGACATTGGGTGAAGACTAGTTAAGTGGTTTTCCTTAGAATAAAATAAAAACAAAATATAATAACCTTTCAAAGTTACTAAGAGAGTAAATCTTAAATGCTATCAACACACACAAAAAACTGTAATTATGTGAAGGGATGGCAGTGTTAGCTCATGTTCTGGGGTGATCATTTTGCAATATGTTAAGTGTATAAAATCAACATATTGTACACTTTAACTTACATGATGTTGTACATCAATTACATCCCATTAAAGCTGGAGGAGAAAATGTGTATAATGATCTCATAGTACTGTTGTAATAATAGAAAAATGAAAGACTACAAAATTAATTATTAAAAAAATAATAATGCTATAACCTGGATAATGGTCTGTGATGAAGAGGAATGATTTTCCAGCAAATGGCTTTGTAATATAAAAAAATAAATATAATTCTTTATGTATTCTTTCATTGCCTGATAATTTAAAACATCCCTTGGAATTCTTTTCAAGGCCCTCCCGGTTTTGCCTGTGATTGGATATTTTATTATCAAATTCAAAGGTTTAAATAATTATTTTTCTCTTGCTTTAATTTTCACATTTTTAAAGAAGTTGTTCCTATGTTAAAGTAAGAAATCATCTAATTGATACTTGCTTATTTTTAAAACTAAAATGACTAAAACATTATTTCAGTCTTTCCAAGAAAAATTTTGTTTATTACTATACTGAAATAATGGATTTTTTTTCTCAAGAATCTCACGGGGACATGCTTGGGTGGCTCAGCCAGTTAAGCGTCTTACTTCGGCTCAGGTCATGATCTACGAGTTTGTGAGTTCAAGTCCCACATCGGGCTCTGTGCTGACAGCTCAGAGCCTGGAGCCTGCTTCAGATTCTGTGTCTCCCTCTCTCTCTGCCCCTCCCTCACTTGTGCTCTGTCTCTGTCTCTCAAAAATATATAAATGTAAAAAAACATTTAAAAAAAAAAGAATC